CTACTTCTATAGGCGCCCCTGTGTCTTCCCCCACCTCGGAAATAAAGGCTTAACCCAGTAAATGGTAATCAGAGGGACTAGTTAGCCAATTAGCCCATTTAAACCAATCAGAATCTACCAGAGTCAGTTAACAATGTTAAAAATCCGCTCAGGGTGACTGGCAAAGGGCCCAAATCAGCAGATAATTGACTATGTCACCCTCTGCCCGATAGTCCCAATGATAATTTATCCTATACTGCTGTCAACCAATTTATAGTCCTCTGTGGAAGCTATTCAGCAGGCTATAAGTCAATACTGGGTCTGGAGGATCGTATTCTGCCACTTTGGTCCAAAACACACTCCAGAAATAATCCAGTTTGAGATCGCTTTAACTGCCCTGGCTCAATGTTAGGGAATTCTGGGAACTGTAGTTTGTGAGACATTTAGCCTTCTCTGTCAGAGAGCTGTGGTGCCACAATAAACTACAGTTCCCAGGATTCCCTAGCACTAAGGCAGGGCAGTTAAAGCGGTCTCAAACTGAATTATTTCTGCAGTATGTTTTGGACCGTTATCTGCTGTAGCTCCATCCTGTGGGAGAAAGCAATGCAAAATGCAGGACATTCAAGAAAAAAATGTAGAACATTTCAAAGGAAAAGTTAAAAACACTCAAATAGATATGAATCCATGCTTCTTAAGCCAGGCTCCAAATGAAGGACGTTTTGAAATCTGTCCTCGATAGAAGGTTGAAATGTAGGACATGTCCTGGAAAAGGAGGACGCCTGGTCACCCTGCTCTTCAAATGCTCCCCAAATTCCTTCAAGTTGTTTCTGACTTATGGCAACCCTAAGGCGAACCTATTATGGGGTTTTCTTGGCAAGATTTGTTCAGAGGTTTGCCATTGCCTTCCCCTAAGGCTGAGGCTTCCTCCATAGCCAACCATCTTAATCGTTTCCATAGGTTTGAGTGTTGGCCTACAATTCTGGAGTCCAGGGTTCAATTCCCAGCTCAGCCATGGAAACCTACACTCTCTCAGCCTCAGGGGAAGGCAATGGCAAAACCTCCTCTGAACAAATCGTGCCAAGAAAACCCCAGGATAGGTTTGCCTTAGGGTCGCCATAAGTCGGAAACAACAAAGATACACCCAGGTCTGTTGTTATTGGACAATGGAAATACTTTTGAGACTGCAGTTCCCCTAATCCCCCAGCAAGTATGTCTTCTGGCTATTGTGCCTGAGGCAAAAATAAGATATATTAGGTTCCTAGCAGCATGGCGTAATGGTTTGAATGTATGGTATTATATATATTATATATAAATTAATTAATTAAATAAATATAATTACAATATTATATATAAAGAAATTCCTCCTGGCCAGGAGGGTGAAATGTAGCATTATGTCCTGGAAAAGGAGGACGTAGACTTAAGGTCCAAAACACATTGCAGAAATAATTCAGTTTGAGATTACTTTAACTGCCCTGGCTCAATGCTAGGGAATCCTGGGAACTGTAGTTTATTGTGGCACCAGAGCTCTCTCTGACAGAGAGGGCTAAATATCTAACAAAACTACAGTTCCCAGAATTCCCTAGCATTGAGCTAAGGCAGTTAAAGCACTCTCAAATTGGATTATTTCTGCACTGTGTTTTGGAACTATGACTCTGGACTCATGAAACCCACCGGGTGACCTTGGGCAAGTCACACTCTCTCAGCCTCAGAAGGCGATAGCAAAGCTCCTCTCTAAGCAAACCTTGCCAAGAAAACCCCATCATCATAGGTTCGCTGGAAACAGCCGGAAGGTATACGACAACGACAACAAACAATTGTAGAATTCAAAGATACAGCCGTCTCCCTACAAACAAAAAAAATTGTGTCCATAGTAATATTAAGCCGAGGTGCCCTTTAAGAGATTTTGGACTCCAGCTCCCAGAAGCCCCAGCCACGTTACCCAATAGTCTGGGGTTCTGGGAGTTGAAGTCCAAAAGTCCCTTAAAGGACACAGTTTGGGGACCACAGCACGACGTCCATATTAATAACCAAGCGTCCTCCAATACCCGGAGCGTTTTCCCCGCCGGTTTCCGGTTTCTACCGGAAGTGATGCCGAGGTGTTCACCGGAACTCGTTCCTTCCCCTCGAAGTGCTCGTCTGGCCTCGTCCGGTCCCTTAGTGGTGCGTGGGTCCCTTTCCCTGTCGCCTGGAGGTCCGCCATGTCCTACGGGATGGAGGATTACGATGAGGTACTTCTGGCCTCGGCTCTTCGCTCTCCTGAGAGGCTGGGCGGGAATTGGGAACCGGGCCTGGCCTGGGGGACCGACTGGAGGAGCCATGTGGCGCCTGGCCTGAAGGGTGATGGGGATTGCAGTGGTGCTGCTGCTCTAGGGCTTTGTTGTGGGGCGAAGTAGGAAGGCGAGGGCGAAGGATATAATATTATGTAATGTTAAGATTATATTAGGGATTAAAATTATATTATTGCTAATTATATTATATATTATACATAGAATAGAATAGAATATATAATTATATATTTATAATACCTTATAAATATATATAATTTGAAATATATATAAATTTTGTAATATATATAATTATAAATTTATATAATAAATTTATATAATGTAATATTATAATATTGTATTGTATTATATATAATTGTCTAATATATAATATAATGTAAAATTCTATATAATATATAATTGTATATATTATAATACAATGTTATAATGTATAATAATATATATTATAGGAATTAATATTATATTAATTATATATTAGGGATGCGGTGGCGCAAGTGGTTAAGATGCTGGCTCTGTTGATTGCAAGATCGGCAGGTTGGCAGTTCGAGGCCCGGGTGCTGCACGATGGGGGTGAGCTCCCACCACTAGTCCCAGCTTCTGCCAACCTAGCAGTTCAAAAACATGCAAATGCAAGTAGATAAATAGCTACCACTTCTCAGTGGGAAGGTAAACAACATTCTGTGAAATCATGCTGGCCACAGGATCACAGAGTAGTCTCTGACAATTCTGGCTCTTTGGCTTAGCAACGGAAATGAGCACCGCCCCTTACGGTTGGACACAACTTGACAACCTTGTCAACAGGGAATACTTTTACCTTTTAATATTAATATTTTATATATATATATATATATATATATATATATATATATATAAAAGATACATAACAACAACAACAGTAATAATAGAATTCAAAGATATAGCCATTTTATCAGAAAAAAATACAGCTGAATACATAATAAAATACCATACGTGTAGAATTCAAAGATATAGCTGCAGAGTCAGCGTGTAGAGAGATCTTGTAGCACCTTTCTTTGAGACTCACTAAAAGAAAGAAGTTTGCAGCATGAGTTTTCTTTTAAAAAAATGTATCTGTACATAAATTCAACACAAAGTAAACATACCAATCTAAAACACCATACAAACTACTACTACTTCTTCTTCTTCTTCTTCTTCTTTTTCTCATTGTTTATTTGTAAAGCACCATAATTTTTACATGGCCCTTTACAGATACAGTCATTTTAAAAATGTTAAATCCTACCGGAGACATACACTCTAAGGAATAATAAAATATATAACTAAACAGTAATTATAAACAAATTATGCAAGTGAAGTACAATACTATAAAGGCAACTAATACATTATACACACACACTTACCCTTAAATGCAATCCTAGCTGGAAATTCTCCTTTCTGATCTGCTCTCTTCCTTTGAAAGTTCTCCTTTTTTCCTTTCCTTTCCTTCTAACTCCTTTCTCTCTTATACTCTTCCTATTCTTTCTTCTCTCCCCCTTCTCCTTTCTATCTTTCCTTCTCCTTTTAACTCTTACACTCATCCCTCCACATTCGCTGGGGTTAGGGGCACAGGACCCTGCACTTAGGGCGGAAAAACGAAAAGTACAGATATACGATGGGGGA